CCGATAATGGCGATCGCATAGTACAGGCCAACTGATTCAAGATCGATAAATCCAAGTAACAGTCGCAATTATGGAAACATGTAATACTGATATACGATTCCTTTAAGCGCAGCATAGCGCAACGATCACTCTCCCTTCAATGATGACGGTTGGTAAGATGGTCTTCCATCACAATCGATAAGTTAGAATATAAGAAACGCTAAACGAGCTAACGGTATTAGTTGCCTTTCGACCCTTTGCAAGACGGAACAGCTAAGAAGTCGACATAAAAAAATCTTTACAATGGAAATCTTTATCTTAATACTAACTTTAGTAAAAGTAGCAGTAACACTAGTAGGATACGATTGCGCCACACAATCGCTGAACATTATCTTGTATTCCTTCTCAGATGTAGCCGACTGTGAGATACCGTGCCTCCAGCCAATTAATAGTACAGTCTACGTACTATCACAGACTGCCGATTACCACTCCGTAAAGGTTTTACAATGTCGCGTGAAAATAATTCGCACGATATTTCATTGCGACATGACTTCCAAGCGTTCATCGTTCACAATGGACGACGGAAATACCTATTCACACTGACCCCCTATTCGTGCCAGCAGCTGCACTCTACGGGAATTCTCTCTCTCTCTCTCTCTCTCTCTCTCTCTCTCTCTCTCTCTCTCTCTCTCTCTCTCTCTCTCTCTCTCTCTCTCTCTCTCTCTCTCTCTCTCTCTCTCTCTCTCTCTCTCTCTCTCTCTCTCTCTCTCTCTCTCTCTCTCTCTCTCTCTCTCTCTCTCTCTCTCTCTCTCTCTCTCTCTCTCTCTCTCTCTCTCTCTCTCTCTCTCTCTCTCTCTCTCTCTCTCTCTCTCTCTCTCTCTCTCTCTCTCTCTCTCTCTCTCTCTCTCTCTCTCTCTCTCTCTCTCTCTCTCTCTCTCTCTCTCTCTCTCTCTCTCTCTCTCTCTCTCTCTCTCTCTCTCTCTCTCTCGTCTCTCTCTCTCTCTCTCTCTCTCTCTCTCTCTCTCTCTCTCTCTCTCTCTCTCTCTCTCTCTCTCTCTCTCTCTCTCTCTCTAGGCTCGAACGTATTCATATTAGGCCTAAAGAAAAACAGCATCAACACAAAAAGACTTATCTTGAATGGCACCGCCACAACAAACGGTACTTACAAAAGCTCTCAATATAGCGACTTCTATGGAACATGGGACGATGTAGTAGTACAACCCTCCGTTACGATCACGCTTCGAGACTACTTTGCCACTGTCAAGACAAAGGCTAATCAAATCCTTCTAAAATCTGAAACCGTATGCGCATTGGACGAAGAAGCTTGTCTGGACTCAGATGGAAGTGAAAGTCACTGGTCGAACATTCCGACCGACAACTGTGGTTTCTATGAATATGACGTTCTTTATGGTGAGCCAGCAATGAAATTAACACCTGCCGAATCATCTCAAGAACCCAAACTTTTCACAGTGACAACGAAAAAAGTCACCTTTACTCTAACAAGAACCAGTGAGTTTGTTTTATGAGAATACTCTATCATCAAAACAGAACACCCTAAGCTATTCTTCATAAAAACATCATCTGGAAGATCATTTAAAGGAAAGACTAAAACTTCCGTAGAAAACTTAGATATCTTCGCCCATGTGAATTCGAAATTTATATATGTAGAAAGACATCTTAAGACACAACTAACCTCGTTATATGTCGACATTCACGACAAAAGTGTGTCAGAACAAATTCTCAGGAATGTCCTATCTTTAGCAACAATGACACCCAACGAAATGGTTTATGCCTTGATGAAGCAACCAGGATACATGGCAGTCATCGCGGGAGAAGTAATATATATTATAAAATGTATTCCTGTGGAAGTAAAGGTCAAGCAGACTGAGGAATGCTATAAAGAATTACCGATCGCTTATCAGAACGACTCATATTTCCTAGCATCTAAAACACGTATCATCCTAAAAGAAGTTTCCATAAAAGATAGCAACGAATTATTATCCAAAATATATAATCTACATGGAACCTGGTATAGAGTGACTCCGAACCTGATCGAATCAATACCTCGACCAGTAATTCAACCTCTAACGAAGCCACAGTGAAGGTACATCGACCCTGCACACTTAGGATGAAGATCTTCACTCAAATGAAGATCTAAATAAACTCAGGTCACACATTATGGAACCAGCTGAAAAACCCGCCATTACCGACACTCTTGCTAGAGGAGTTAGTGGGAGACATATACCTTCAGGCAAAAATCTCTTTATGTAACCTAATTGATAAGAAATCATTAAGTAAGATTGCATGGAGTACGGCGCTATGACTCTGGGGAGCCTTCGTAACCTTCGGATCAGCAAGCGCCGAAGTCTTAGTCATTTTCATGATTCTTCGATTAGTCAAATTCATCGTCGACACACTCATCCATGGATACGCAATATACGATATTTATGGGTGGAGCCTACATCTCCTAGGAGCCCTATAGAATTTAGTAACACCTCCTTCTCCACCTCGCCAAAAGAGTGGAACAAGAAGGACCACTCACAGAAATGGCACCCGAGACTACTGCTCTCCACGAGGAAAAGAGAAAACACGCAGCTAATGCACCCGATCGACCAAGCACATTCTTCGAATTAAATACATACTTGAATAAAGATAAATGTTAAAATGTATGTATATCTACGTATTTTCAAATAAGGGGGAAGTGTTACATCCCACACCCCTCTCATACTTAGATTTAAATAACTGTTATCTACCTATAAAAATCCTTGTCTTCTAGAAATAAGTTGCTAATAATATTATTGTAAATCACTCATTAGACATAAGAAGCGATCGGGAACATATTTACCCTAACATATTTATGTCTTTCTATTAAACAAAATATTTTTACAATATATAATTTGTAATGCACCGGACAGAGCCCACGATACGTGACACGCGTGACGCACTGAATGGAAGCCATAACATGCGCCACATGTAACGCACCAAACGACCATATTGTCGGTAGGTCGAGGCAACGCCTCATCCCACAGCAGAGCTCCCGCTGGAAATCTCATCCCCACCACCGACAACGCTACACTTTCACTACGTTAATATTACATTTGACGTCACTCGTTTGTTCAATATATATATGTATTTGTATCTTTCTTGAGGTAGATTTGCCGCACTTCTCATGTCCCGCCCTTCGATTGACGTTTGTTATTTACAAATCCAGCTGTTAAGATTTTGAAGAAAAACGGGCATTAGGAAATAGGCCCAATGCACGAGAAATTACAGAAAAATTTTATAATGATAATATATTAAATAAAATTTAAGTAATGTGAATAATAAACGTAAAATGTCGTTTCTTTGTTCACAGTTAAGAATGTAAATAACAAATAATTATTAATTAACAAATAAAAATTTATTCCTTTGTTCACAGAGAAATATATTTTCGTTTATCACCTCATCCAAAATAATAAAACATATTTATAAAACAACAATCATTTTAGGTTTATAATGGCAAGAAAACTACAATTCGCATTTAAATTTGTGGCATCACCGAGAGACAGAAAGACAAATGTGATTGTCATAACTTCTATCACAACTGACAATAAAAAATATGTGTTGCCAGAAAATGAAAAATTTGTAAATAACCACAGCGAACTAACAAAAACAAAAAGCTATAAGAGAATGAAAAAAGCCTCAATCAAAGAGGTCAAGAAAGAAGAATATGGATTAAATGCACACAGGAAATGGACAATACGTGTTTTGATGAAGATAATGTTTAATGATCTATATCTAGAAGAAATAGTGGAAACAAACATAGTAGAACCCACGCAGAAGAAAGAATACCAAATAGATTTAAAGGGTATATCGGAAAAATTCATGATCAAAAAATTTGGATGTAGACACTCAAATGCAGAATAATGATTAGAGACATTTGATAAAGAATGTCAAAGATTAGAAATTAAAGAAGATAACACAAAAATTGAAATTCTAAGATTATTCCTTGACAGGGCATGTTTAGACTGGCACTCAGCAACACTAACAGTGTTGACAATAGAGGCTAGTTGGAACGAATGGAAACAGAGATTCTTGAAATCATTTGCAGACATGGGATGGAGTACAAGTATATACGCTATATCCTACAGATATAAAAAAGGTTCACTAATGGAGTACGCTATGAGGAAATAAAAACTACTACTGGATATGGACAACAATATCATTACAAAGACTCTGATGATGCTTATCGCAGTAGGATTACCAGAATTCATGAGATAAAATAGATAGAGAAAATTGTCAAAGCTCAACAGAATTACTACAAGAAATAAAAAAATGTGAAAATCTAGTAAGTAAGAACAGTTTTACAAAAAGAAAAGAGGAAAGACAAGATAATAAGAAGAAATTTGAAGAAAAGAAACCATGTAAGAATTGTGAAAAACTAAACAAAGGTATTAGATATCATTCAGAGGACTTCTGTTGGTTCAAAAATTAAAATAGAAAGGTAACCAGAATAAATGGAATAAATACTGCAGTATGAGACCATATAGATGCACTATAGAGGATAAAAAGGAGATGGAAAATCAGGTGGCAAAACTATTAGAAAATAAATTAATTGAAGAATTTTATAGACCGTTTGCAGCACCAGTAACTCTAGCATTCAAAAGAGATGAAAACGAACGATCACGATTGTGTATAGATTTCCGCGAATTAAACAAGATAGTTACCACAAACTCAACCATTCCCATTAATAGAAGATTTAATACTAAAAGCAAAAAACTGTAAATACTTCACCACATTAGATATAAATTCCGCTTTCTGGTCAATTCCATTACGTATTGAAGATAGACAAAAAACAGAATTCGTTACACAAGAGGGGCTCTTCCAATGGACATGTCTACCGTTCAGATTAAAAACATTACCAGCCATTTTCCAGAGAATACTATCTAATATTCTAAGAAAGCACAAATTAAAAGATTTTTCAGAGAATTACATAGACAGCATATTAATTTTTTCATTCGAAGAACATATAGAATACGTAGAAAGAGTAATAAAGGCAATAGTAAACGAAGGTTTCAGACTAAAATTTTAAAAATGTACATTTGCAACAGGATCAGTGAAATATCTCGGACACATAATAGAGCACAATACAGTAAGACCAGTAAAAGATAATCTAATCTCAATACAAAATTTTCCCACTCCAAAAACCCAAAAGAATATTTGACAGTTTCTCAAAAAAATAAACTTCTATCATGAATATATACCGAAAAGCTCAATACTGCTAGACCCATTACATAAACTGTTAAGAAAAAATGAAAAGTTTATATGGTCTGAAGAGTGTGAAAAACCTTTCACAAATATAAAAAAATTATTATGTTCTCAACCAGTAAACATTTGATAAAAATTTACCGATAAGAATTTACACGGATGCATCACTGGAAGGCATTGGTGCAATATTTAAACAGATATAGAGTGATGGTAAAGAAAAGCCAGTAACATATCTTTCGAAAAAACTAAATGATTCACAAAAGAGAAAAAAAGCAATTTACTTAGAATGCCTGGCAATCAAGGAAGCGGTAAAGTATTGGCAACATTGGCTGAAGAAAGTTCACGATATTTACAGATCATAAACCATTAGAAGGTATGAACATAAAAGTTAAAACAGATGAAGGACTTGGGGAGTTAACGTACTATTTGTCACAATATGATTTTCAAATGAAATATATTCCGGGAAAAAATAATGCTGAAGCAGATAGTTTAAATAGAAATCCAGTACTGGAACCATCCGAAAATACGGAAGAAATACTAAAAATAGTTAATCTAATAAAAATAAAAGAGATAAAAACAGATTAAAAAGAAAATAGAACACTGCAGAAAACTAAAACAAAATTAATAGAAGAAGACGGAGTGTTCTATAAAAAAAATTAGAAATAAAAAAAGATAATTTTATCTTAAGAATTAATCCTTTGCACTCGGCTGTCCCCTCTCGTGGGACATCGTAATTCTAGCATATCACTCGGATTTAATGTCCCCTCTCATGGGACATTAAATTTGATTAGTGATTACGGCTAATTGAGTTATTTCAGCACAACTTTTTGAAACATTCATGCTTCCCTGAAGTTTTCTCTTGAAATGGCTCAAGAAATCAAATCAAAATATAATAAAATTACTAAAATATACACAAAGAAATGTTGAGAAGTGATTTTCGTGAATCGAGAACGCGTCCATCCACATCTTCTGCGGACAATAGATTAGACAATAAAATACATATTCCTGATGTGGGACAAAGAAAACGAGATTGCATTGTTTGTTCTGATAGGAAAACACCTGGTGGCAGGCGTAAAACAACATATTATTGTCAAACGTGCACTAATCAGCCTGCAATGCATTTTGGGGAGTGTTTTAAAGTTTATCATTCTGTACAAAATTATAAAAAATAAAACATTGATTTTTTTGCAAATATACATTTCTCGATTTCAACCAATTCATATAAGTCCAATATCATAATAATATGTTAGTTAGTTCCAAAACTATACTAAATAATAAGAGAGTCTGTAAATGCACGTTTCTGCCACAAAGTAGCACCGAGTAGCTGGTAGCCAACATCCAGAATGGTTCGGAGAGCAAAGGGTTTAAGTTTAAAATTAATTAATCCTTTCGCTCCGAACGATGGATATATCCGTCATCCACATGAAAACCCGCGGAGCCGAACACCAGATATATCCGACATTCACATGATCGCCCTCTGGATACGAACGCCGGATATATCCAACATGCTGGTAAAACCGCAACCTAGTTTTTGGAAAGCAGCGCCCATTGTGATTGATGCGTAAATCTTTTGACGAAACGAATAAACGACACACCATTCAAATTATATTTGTTCTACCTGCGTGTTTTCATCACTATTGTGTTACGTGTCATAAAAAAATAGAAAATCGAAAATACTACAAATTTTAGGATAAAGAATTTCAGCAAAGTTTTGTATTGGTACGTCCGTCTGCGGTCTAAAAATATCCTCACTTCTTACAAGTATTATAAGTTACTTTTCATTTCAATAAAGTGCTTAGGTTTTACCCTTCACAAAATGGCATCAAGAAGAGAATTGCAACTGATGTTCAACTTGGATAGATTAAAAATTGATTCGAATAGTAGCAATGAAAGCGAATCACAAATAGTACCTCGCAAAAAAAGACGCCTGAATGTATTAAGTACCTCAGAGTCTGAGGAAATCGAAGAGAATCGTGTGGAAAATGCGGCTGTGTCAAATATTATATGGACAACGGCAAAATTCGAACCCAAAGTTCACCATTTCAATCCACAGAATTCCGGAATACAATCAGGGATAAGCTCGTGGAAAATCATAGATTATTCCCAATTATTTGTGGGTGAAGAATTAATGGAATAAGTGAATTATACTGCTTTATTGCAATATGTTTTTTGATGACCCACAACAAAAGGCTATCATTGGCATAACACTGGACCCGAGATAAATTATTGAGAAGCGATATTTTTAGCGATATAATGAGCAGAGACCGGTACTTCTTATTTCTATGAATGTTATACTTCAGTGATGATCAAGCATCCAGTTCCGATCGATTACGTAAAATCCGAAAAATCATTGATGAGTTACGAGCAGCATTTTCGAACATCTTCTACCCTTGTTCTAACTTATGTATCGATGAGAGTCTGCTACTATACAATGGCAGACTGTCTTTCAAACAGTTTATCCAACCAAAAAGAAATAGATTCGGAATAAAATCGTTTGTTCTATGCGACTGCAAGACAGTTTACATCCAAGATTTTATTGTTTATACGGGGAGGGGGGGGTGTGATACCACTATAGGGTCTGAAAATAAAGATTATGGCAAATCGGGAAGCATTGTAATGTCCCTCCTAGAGCCATATCTGGGTAAAGGCCACACTTTTGGGACAACTGGTATACAAGTCCCATATTATTTGATGTCTTGCACAAAAATTATACAAATGCGTGTGGCACTGTCAAAAATAAAAGGAAAGGGATGCTGAAAATGGACGAAAAATTGAAAAAAGGTGAAGCGTGCTTTCGCTCAGCAGGAAATATGTTAGCCATAAAATGGCAGGACAAAAAAGAAGTTTGGATGATCTCTACACTACATAAGGCAAAATTTGCGGATGTAAAAAAACGGTACAGTATACAAAATATCGTACAGAAACCATCTTGTGTACTTGAATACAATAAATTGATGGGTGCTGTGGACAAAACCGACATGGTCATCAGCACCATACATTCTACGAGAAAAACGACGAATTGGTATAAGAAGTATTTTTTTCATATGATCGACATGTGTTTATGGAACTCATATTGTTTATATAAATTAAAAACGGGTAAAACACTATCAATTGCAAAATTTCAATTAAAATTGATCGACCAAATTTTGAAAAAATATCATAAACAATCAAGCAATCATTGTATAAGACCCGGAAACAATTACTCAGAACGACTAAATGGAAGACATTTTCCTTCTCTTTATGAAATTAACGGGAAAAAAAGATCAAGAAGGTGTGTCGTATATACAAAGAACGATAAGAGACGAGAATCTCGATATCAATGCCAAGAATGTGATGTTGGCTTGTGCGTGCATCCGTGTTTCAGAATATATCATACGAAATTAAATTATTAATTACTATATATTATATATTGTGTAATTATTGTATTATATATTGTATTTTATTACTGTATATTATATATTATTTATTTTTCAATTGTTAATGAGACTTTTTTACCCATTAAATAAGTTTATATCTTATGTAGATATTATAAGTATATTGTTTTAAAGAAAAATCCCTTTTCTTTCAAAATACATTATCAATTGCACAATTATGCACAATTTTGGCGGGAGATCCCGTTCAGGAGCGACGCTACGGCGGACTAAACCGCCGGTCTTAAACCGAAAGGGTTAAAGAAATACACTCTGAATGGTGACATATAGGGATCATACAAATGACAAACAGGATATCTCCTTATTATACAGCTAAGGGTATAAATGCAAATATAAAAAAAAATTTGCCAGAATTGTGAAATATGTATTAAGAACAAATCCAGAGGGCAAGGAAAATATGGACTGATGTCACAACTAGGACCGGCAACGAAACCGTTCGAAATCATGTCAATAAATACCATTGGAGGCTTCGGAGGACAAAGATCGACAAAAAGATACCTCCACCTGCTGGTGGACTATTTTACAAGATACGCGTTTATGATAACATCAAAAGCCCAGAGTGCAACGGATTTCATCAAACTGATAAATAAAGTACTAGAAACCGACAAAATAGGAGTAATACACGCAGATCAATACCCGGGAATAAACTCAAGAGAATTTAAGGAATTCCTAATAGAAAAGGACACTAAACTAATTTTTACGGCTATCAACACGCTCTTCTCCAACGGTTTGAACGAGAGACTAAATCAGACACCCTAGTAAACAAAATAAGATGCAGGATAAATGAGAAAGGAAAAAAAGAGCTTGGACAACGATCGCTAAAGAATGTTCGGATAAATATAATGAAACAGAGTATACAGTAACCGGCTTTACGCCTAAGTATTTGTTAGATGGCACAAACACCAGCATTTTACTCGAAGAAATAAAAAGAAAAAACAGTCAAGAAAATTGGATAAGAGATAATTAATTAGCTCTAGAAAGAACAAAAAAATCACACGAATATAACAAAAAGATATTTAACAAGAATAGAAAGAATCACCGGTTTAAAACAGGAGATCTGGTGTATATAGAAGATGGCAATAGGTTGAATAGAAAGAAATTGGACGAATTGAGAATTGGTCCTTTCCAAATAATAAAAAAAATATCAGAATCTATATACAAAATAAAAACAGGAAAACGAAAACAAGAAACTGGACATCTTCCACATAACAAAATTACTTCCAATATCAGAAGATGGGGACGAGGACTAAAAATTGTAGATATTTTATCTAGGACGGGGGGGGGGGGGAGATGTAAAGAAAGTATACTTTCTTAAGTTAGATTTGCCGCCCTTCGATTGTCTTTTGTTATCTACACCTCAAGCCGTTAAGATTTGGAAGAGAAACGGGTATTAGGAAATAGAACTTAGACAAAAGAAATAGGACGAGAGATTACTAAGAAATTTTGTAAAGAAATAAATAAAGATTTATAATCCTTTGTTCACGAAGAAACATATTTTCGTTTATCACCTCACCTAATAAATCCGAGATATTATAGATATATATATAGTTCACACAAATAACAAATATACAGAATATGTTTTTCTAAAGGTCTATATAAGTTTTAAGAAACTTATTTCTATAAGTTACTAACTCTATTATACGACATATTCGACCCCGACATAAAGGGAGTCATGAATAATACGAACTAATTATATTATAAAACAAACAGATATATATTTTTGGGGTAATATTTTTTTCGACGGTTATTCTCGGTTATTTTTAAAAATCATTCTCGAAGGTTATTCCCGACGATAAATGTAATAAATATTGTCAAGTTAAAGTCAATATGTCTTAAATAACCCCAGCTGCGTTTTCAACAAAACCTTGCGACGTTCTAAATTATTTTCAGGTTACATTAATTATTCTCGCGAGTCTCAAGAGCTTTCTGTCGCGCAGTCGACAAGTTCAAAGCTAATAAAAGTTATCTTTTCATAAGACGTGAATCCTTAACCTTAAGTTATTCTTTTACTATGTGGAGCGTACGAATCGCACGAGTTAATATATCCTATTCTCGAATTTTATTTATGCCGAGAACATTACGCGGTGGTAAAAAGTACCATTTACGCCGACTATTCGCGTCGCTTTACGATTCGGTTCGTTATCACAAAGACTTGGAAATTGTTCCATCGGAAACTACTGATCAACAGGAAGCCGTACCTTACTACCTCATACCCATCACGGTCGAGAAGAAGATGTACTACCCGAGTCGACTATCACCGTCCGACCCTCGAGCGAAACTTACCCAAGCAATTCCATATCGCCTAATATCGACCGACATTACGAAGGAGATTGTTTGAATGGAAAACAGCTCGTATTGATGTCCGTCCCGTGCCAAAAACTGCACATAGCAGGTAACGGTCAAAAAGGACACAAATCCCACAAGAGTAGAAGCACCTCAGGTATATTCAATAACTTATGTATTTTCTTTGAGGCCCATACTCCGTAGGACGTAACTAATTCTAAGGACTAATCCGTAGGACGCTGCTAATTAAATGTTGGTCAACGGACGCTATTTATTATTTTTCGTTTTTGCGTAGCATAATGTCTCGTAATCGATTTGAATATAGATAAAAATTATTCAAACTATGTTCCATCGAAGGGTATATATAGTCCGATAAAATACATGCAGGACGAGATATCAGGAAATATCAGAATATTTTAATTTTTTTCGGTCAATTAAGGGAAATAATATTATACCATAGACGCCGTCAAATTTATTTTATGCACAATGATGCACCACCACATTTTATTAGATATTTATCGGTACGAGAATTTCGAACTTGTTGGATAGGGCATAAACTTGCATCCCATTTGTGGCCGCCTCGTTCTCCAGAGATCTTACGATTTTTCTATCGATTTTTGAATTTTTGGATGAGGAAAAGAGAACAAAAAAGGCATTTCACCTTTACAAGTTCATCCGCAGATCAAGACTATAAAGAAGGTTGTGCGTTCTATGTTACCAAAAAAAGAGACAAATTCTCGAATGCCAGGAAGCGAAAAAAAAAGTAAAAATGACTGAAACATAATGTCCTAATAGTCTCAAATTAATTGTGTTTGAACTGTTTTAGCGAATACCATGCTAACTGATATAATGTTATTTATCATTTTAAATATAAATTTATATATATATGTAAAGAAAGAATACTTTCTTCAGGTAGATTTGCCGCACTTCTCATGGCCCGCCCTTCCATTGTCTTTTGTATCTACAAATTCTTTTGTTACCTATAAGTCGAGCCATTAAGATTTGGAAGAGAAACGGGCAGTAGGAAATAGAACTTAGACGAGAGAAGTAGCACGAGAGTGTATAAAGAAATTCATAAAAGATAATATATTAAATAAAATTTAAGTAGTGTGAATAATAAACGTAAATTGTCGTTTCTTTGTTCACAGAGAAACATATATTCGTTTATCACCTCACTTAATCAATCCGAGATATATGTATATATAATTTGTATATGTATATGTATATTTTTTATTTTATTTTATATATATTTATTATTTTATATATTTTATATTTACATGTGCCAATTCCATTAAATACTTATTACAAATGAAACTGTTTAAATTCCTAGTAAAATCCTATTTAATTGAACGAAGATCATCAGTCATTTACGGGTAACGGGAATATGAAAACATAGCCGTAATTCAAATCTGGGTATCACGGTATTCAACGTGCCGGATTTGTAATCTTACAACACGATTTCGTCATTCTTTATGATGTATCAAAATGGAATTTTATATAATCAATATGGTATATTTTTTGAAATATTTTTCAGGTTGACAATATCACTCTACCGTGGGCAGAACTTTCATTCATTAAGTGTCAAAAATAGTTTATATCGAAATAAAGAACGTGAACTAGCTCAATATAATCTGGACAATAAGGCTGTAGAAATTGTAAGTACGTATGTATGGATGCGAGCGGGAATGTAAATGCTATGAGGTAAAGGAAAAAATGAAGGTGCAATCTTGAGTCAAATCTATGCGAAGAGAGATATCAGAGTAAAGAGTAACAAGTTCGATCCTGAATGAATCAACGAAGTCACGACCGAGTTACACTCTTGGACAAAAAGGTAGTTAAAAATTTTCGTGATATTCTTAAAATATAAATATGTAGTTTTAGAAACTTATAATGAAAGTGAGAATACAATCATTGCTGAAATAATGCGTAGAATAATGAGAAACAATGAGTATAATGGTCGATTAGCAAGAAGAATACCGTACATCAATGAAATAAATAGGAAAAGAAGATTAACTTATTCCAAAAAGTACGTTTAGAAACTGCAAAATTGCTGGAAAGATGTTATTTTTGCTGATGAAAATAAATATTGTATTTTTGGTTCAGAAAGATAAAGTATAGTGTGGCGAAAAGTAAGTCAAGCTTTGAAACTAACAAATTTAAAATTTACTTTTAAACATATGAGTAATTCTGTGATTGTATGGAAATGTATTTCAAGTGCTAGAGTTGATGAATTGGTAATTCATCAACCATATTTTAGAAAAGAACAAATATTTGGACCTTCTGAAGAAAAATTTTCGGTAAAGTGCAACTAAGATTAGACAAAAAGATAGCACATTTAAAAATTTTCGTAATATTCTTGAAATATAAATAGATACAGTGCCAGATAAAATGATAGGACATTTGATGTATTTATATAATTCATATAACATAATAATATGTACATTTTACATACTCTATGTATTAGATATGTCTTTCAAAATATCCATATAAAATTGCAAGTTCATATCTTGTACATGAAAGAAATTAGAGAAAGAAGTGTAAATATCGGCTGACATTACTTAAAATTTCGATTAGAATTTCCTGTATACATATAACTTATAATTGCATCATCTTTAAACTTCATTTTTCTATAATATACGTAGAATAAATTTTTCAATATTCACTTGTTTTTTTTTATTATTTGTTTTCTACAAAAAATGTACAGTCTGTCTTATCTACCAGAACCGATCATTTTTAATAATTTCTTTTGTTTCTTATAACAATTAACAGACGTATAATAGACATATAATATAGCAAATAGCATAAAAATAGGCTTCTTTGGTTATTTTATCATAGAATTTGTTTTTCTTGTCTCTGTATACACACGTACGTAGAAACATTCAATATTTTTTTACGTGAAAAATTAAGCAATAAATAATACATTATAGTAAAAGGAAAGAAGACAAAGTTTTACATAAATATACAACATTGCATTATTTTATGGATATTCAGACATGTTTAAATGATGAATGAAATCAATGATTTTATTCAATCCATCTCCAGATAAGCTCTAAAATTGTAATAGATCTTAAAAAAATAATCTTTATTTTGAGCTTGTATTCAGCTTGTATTCATCTCTATGTTCAGTCTGTATATGTTTCAAGACTATCGCTTTTGGGCTGTTATTAAATTTTTGTCTCTTTCGCCTGAACGAATCACGATCATCTAGAAAGTTTTGTATATTAATGTTCGGTTATTTTAATAAGAAAATTTAGTTTTTTTTTTACAAAGACCCCATATATTTTAATGTCCTGTTAATTGTTCAATAAAATTTCTTCTATTAACAAATGAAAACCATGTCCTATAAAATCTATAAATAATCTAGAAATATTATATAAAAACTTTTATAAAATCTTAAATAATAGGCAATAAAATAATTATGACATTAAGTTATATAAGCAACAAAAACATTCCAATAGTATATTAAATATAACATGTTATAAATATTAAATAGTAATAATTTGACAAATTTAATATTTTGAACCAGACTAAAAAACTCGATTAGATATGGTTTTTACTTTCTTTCATAACAAATAACAAGTTTCATTGGAGGCATTAATAATTTATGCCATTACCTAATCGCGTCTAAAACGTTATATATAAAACAACTTGTTTTATTTATAAAAATAAGAATATGCAAGTATTTAAACTGCACAAACAAATACGGCAAATGACATCAAATTAGTAACGTGCAGATTCAAAAAAAGTTTTAAATCTAATTTACCAAAAAGTTCTGCTTGATTATAAAGTTATATTATAGCATGAAAATGCGTCATTGAAAGCAGAAATGTTTCGTAAAAGTATTCCGTGCTATAAAATTCGATAATGTCGCAATAATATTATAATATAATCTTTGCCATGGTTTGAACATTTTTAATGTGATTATAATATAAGGAAGAAGGTATATAACACTTTCAATGGCAGCACATTTCGAAAAAAGAAAAGAAAAAGAAACAAAATAGACAATTAATATTTTTCTATCGAATATTAATATCTTTTTCTTTCTGTTAATATTTTTTCCCCCTTCACAGGACTATTATAAAAAGACATTTCATTGAATTCTGATGCTCTTATATGTAGTACCATAATAGTACAAAGAACATAGTGCTTGACTTCAGTCAAGTCAGCCCCATAAGGTGATATTTCATTACATTCTAATGTATGAAATTCATGCTATTTATACTTGAAATACTACGTCTAAACATTTTAAACCAAAATTTAATCAAATTTTGATCAAGTGCAGCTTGAAACAATTTTATATGTGTATCTGCGTAAATTTGATCTAATTCTTCTTGCGATATCAAATCGTTTAATCATTTATTACTATCTTCCATCTCGCTTTTAATCTCAGTTATATTTTTTTTTTCTTTGAAAGTACCCACTTTCCTACTTTCATATAATCAAAACAATCAGATTTATGTTTAAAGTTGCTTATGTTTTTTTTAAATTGTTTATTTACAAATTTTATTTAAATATTTCATAAATTTATATATTATATGTTAATTGTAACCTTGCTTGAGAAATAATTTCTGATTGATTATCAACTATTTCTGTATAATTGTTGGAAAATATATTATTTTCTCTACTGGTATCATTACCAGTAATAACATTTATTTATTTTTATATTTCCTTTCATCATGTTATTAGACTCTACTGATATTTCATTATTTTCGTAATGAATAGTATTTTTCATAAAATTCTCAACATTCTTTACATTATTTTTATTAATATTAGTATTTTCATTCCAAGAATTTGTAATATTTTTATATTATAGAAGTCATTCAGTGTGGAAATTTTATTATTTATTTTTTTATGTCAAAATCATTATTATTATATTCATCGATATTACAAGGCATCTTTGGTACTATATTGGGAAACATAGTAGTCACGGTTGTTAACATTTTATCGTATGTACTATAATCAAAGAAATAAAATTTCAGAAAGATCAATAAATCAAGAAAGCAAGCATACTTGTATCTAATGATAACATCTTAAATGATAATGGGTCACTTATCATACCGTCTGATGGCCTCTTGAATTGGATATAAATTTATACCGGTTGTTCTATTTCTTGTGTACAATAACTAGACGTTCTAAGCTCGATTACTGTCTAATTATAATAAATTATATAGTAACAGAAGGAAATATAAAGCTTACAATAGTCAACAAAATAATGTTTTGTACCTGCTTGTGTACTTGAGATGATTGAAAATCTTCAAATTTTTCCTAGATAACGTGTCTATCTTTTCTTCAAAAAATCTAATTTGAATATATACTTTTAGCTTGCACTTTCTCACATAAAATAATCTTTCCCATATCACCAGCAACAATAGCATTGCAATGACTTATCACTAAATCTACCAACACTTCATCTATACCTATTCTTACCACGATCGGTCGAATGACCAATCTTAAAATAAAATATTTCTTCATTTAGAATGAAGATAATAGCCAATAGTCTAGAACATGTCCAGACCAGACTAATCCTTCGTTTACCATATCGTATGAAACGTATGGTAAGGAAATCGGATCAAACATGTAAAAGCCGTGATAAGTCGATCGGGCTAAACGTAAACACTTGCCAGTATCATAATTGGGTCCAACGTGAACAGCACAATTCTGACTCGGATTTTCCCGATGTCTTTTTGTCTTAGCCGGGTCAGACTCATTGTTAATTATCCAATTTTCTCAATGTCTTTTTTCTCAATTATGTGTAATTCTTGATCACATTCGCACGTTCAAATATATTTTTTGAAAAATATTTTCAAAAAGAAAATTTAGTGTTGATGTGGACAATGAATATTCTGTTAACTTTGCGAATAATGATTTGATAGATATTTTTAGTAGTGATATTGGCAATATTAATATTTTATTTTCTGTACGAAAATGTTGTAAGCTTCTGGTTATTGAAGATGATATCGATAATAAAGACCATTAATTATCGACTACGCATTAATTATCAGTTATCAAAAAGTGGATTTGGAAAGCAAAAAATAATGAACTGAAAATAGAAACTCTTGCCTAAATGCAGCAATTTTACACAAGTGCAAACAAAAAAGAATTAGACATTATTAATATAATAATTGATATGTTCTGGGAAAATATTGTAACGAAGATGAATCGGTATGCATAACAAATAATAAACAATAAAAATAAAAGACGAAAAACCGACGAAACTTGGTTTTCTATAGATTCTAAAGAAATAAAAATTTATTTTATATTATGTATAACAATGGTTCAGAAAAAAGAACTAGCAATTCAAATTAATTGATTTAAGAGGGCCGTTATAGAAACACCAATATTTAGAGAAACGATGTTATTTAAAAGATTTTTCAAATTGTCTAAAATTTTTTTTAAATTATATACTTATATATTTTTAGCACTGCAAGCTATTCAATAATTATATACAACAAAGGATTCTAGTTTCTACTTTTTAATGTCTTATTTGCTTTGTAATGTCTTCTATGCTCATAACCAGTTAACTGCCCATTCAGAAAATACTCAAAATTTATTATTAATAAATAATTCTTTTCGTTGGTAAAATTTATTATATATTAGCAAAAGATTGTGATACTTATCTTCTGTGTAACTAACATTTTATCTGCTGATAGTTTTGATAATAATAACATTAATTACTTTTAATTTGATAGTCTCATTTAGTTCAAATGGATGAATTACTATAACAGAATGAGAGGTTATGAAAGGTACAAATATATCATGCAACTTGCACAATACTGCTCAATATACATCTTTCTTGAATATACAACTAATATATTGAATTTTAGCATTAGTTCAAATATTTTAGATGTTGCATTTAAAAACAACTAATCTTACGAGAAATGATATTAGAACTCGTATTCAACGAGCAACTAATTTTTTAGAATATATAAATACGAAATTTGCCGAACATTTCATAACTGAAGAAAATATTTGCGTTGATGAATTCGTAGTAAAATTTAAATAGAAAATAAGTTTTATTTTTACATACAATCCCAATAAACCTAACAAGTGGAGCATTCGAATATACATTTTAGCAGATTCAGATATGTATATAGCATCTTTCCATATTACGGAAGTATCACTTCTGGAAATCTTTCGAGGCCAAATTTAACGGTCAGCATTAGAATTGTCCTACATCTGAATCAACAGTTATTAAGTCAAGTACCTACCACAAAAAGATATCACATTCATATCGACAATTATTACACTAGTGTATCCTTAGCTGAAGAATTAAAGAAAATGAAGTGCCACTTGACCGGTACCATAAGAACAAATAAAAAGTGTTCCAATAACTCTGAAGAAAGCAAAATTTCATTAAAGCAAGACTGTCGCATACAAAACGGGAAATATAATGTTTTTAGTTTGGAAGATTAAGAGAATAGTATCATTATTGAGCAACTCGCATAATGCTTGAATAATAACCACTAAAAGATTTATGTAGGAGACATAGAAGAAGTAATCGAAAAATCAAGTATAGTTATCAGTTATACAAAAGTCGATGGGTGGTGTTGATCGAGTTGATAAAAATCCCTCCAGTTATTACTTTTTGAGGTAGTGATGCAAACCGCTTTTCTTCTGGATGGGACCATGAAATTATATATCCTCAATAAATCTGTACAATACAACAAAAATGAGAAAGAACTGACCCGTTTACAATATCGGAAAATTTTAGTCGATCAGCTAGGAAATCAGTAGGAAATTTTCGTCAACATAGAACGAGAGCTTCTACTTTAATTTCTGAAACCAGATTAAATGGAACTTCACATAACATAACGAAGAAAGCTGAAAAGAAAGACCGCGTTCTGTGCTCCAAACGGAAAGCAAAAGATGGCAGATATCAAACAACTGTGACACTTGCCCAAGTAAATCCAAAATGCACATGGGAGACTGTTTCCAAAGATACCACATTAAAGTAAATTATAAAATTTTTAATTTGTTTTATTTACAAGAGAATATTTATATAATAAATATTCTTTTGTTTATTGTTATTATATAAATATCCTATTGCAAATTCATATTCATATAATAAATAATATCAAATACATTCACAAGCCGTGTAATCTTTTCCATTTAAAGTAAAACTTTTTCTCTGACGCTTCGCTATAAAAATATGCCGAAGTTACTGGTAGGCAGTGGTAGAGAAACGCGCGGAGTACAAAGAGTTAATATACATAGACAAACACATAGTGAGTGTAAAAAATATTTGTACAGCAGTCAATTCGAGCAAAAACTTTATAGAACTTAGTTTATTACAAAAAAATATTAATAGAAAATAGATACACATATTTTAGAAATCTCTAAAAAGAATGTTATTAAAAAATAATTATTTACTTATATTTGTTATTAAAATATTGTAAGCCTCTAGGATCGACCGTACGTTGTTTTTCTTATGACAAGGAATTATGCCTAGCGTATCCGTGGTGTCTGTGAGTGAGCATATGCATGCGTGACTAGCAATAGGAAGACAAAGGAACGATCTAGATTTTCTAACGGTACAGATTTTCATTTGTCAAGCGAACTTCCATCGAATGTTTTCGAAATATATGAGGATAATGCAACAAACGAAAGAGAAAACAAATATTGAGAAAAAAATACAGAGTTGATCGTAAGAAGCAAAGGAATCAAGACGGACTTAAAACCACATGTGATTCGATTTTACGATTGAAGATCCTAAGATTTAAAATTAAATTAGTTTTCTTTTGTGTTTACAATATTAACAATTCTTCAAAAATAAGCAGAAAATATACGTGCAATAATTATTCGTAGAGTCCTTGATTCGTGATATTGTACATGGGATAAATACAAGATAATACATCTTATATCAATATATCAAGGATCAGTATATCTGGAGGCATTGTAAATACAGACAATATTATAAATTTAATTATATTCACCAATAACAATTATAAAATGGGACGAAAATGGAACTAGTGAAGAAGAAAAGAAAATTATTATATATTTATATAATAAGTACAAAACACTGACTGAAATTTCTAAAATTGTAAATAGACCACCATGGTTCATGATTCCAAGAATCATTGATAGACATGGATAATCCACGAAACAAATGTAAAATCAAAATAAATTAGTACACTAACCGATGCATAATTCGCAAAATAAAACAAAATCCAAAAATAAGTGTAGTAAACATCGCTGCTGAACTTAAAAATAATCTTAACCCTTTCGCGAAGGGTAACGTCTATATACGATAATCACTTGGTGCATCACAGCAGCTGACGCCGTCTACATACGATAGTCTACGGAGGCTGACGCTGCTTATACGCGGCAATCATTTATTAATTTACAGCGGCTGACGCCCTCTAGATACGGCAGTCAGTTATTGGTTATGTCCGATGCCACTCCTACACTTAGCAAAAGACGCATAATTTTTATTTCCTCGTGTCCACCATATAGGGAGTCATCATATCAATGTAATACGCATTAAATATAAAATGGGGATACACCTTTACATACATTACAATCTCTTTATTATTCTAAAGGACAATACAAGTTTTAAGAAACTTATTTCCATCAATCACTAACACCATTATATGACACATTCGAGCCCGACGTAAAGGGAGTCGTAAATAAAACAAACTAATTCTCTTATAAAACACGCGATAGTAAGTAATAGAGATACCTTAGCGCTTAAGACACTCGTAGTCTTATAACTAAAATTCTATAAAGAGTATAATACGAACACAATGGAAAGGACAGAAAGAGAAAATGAAAAGGCAGTGAGACACAGATATTTTTCAGATGTAGAAAAGCAGCGTGACACAGATATTCCAAAGAGGGAAAGAGGAAGTGGAAAGGAGCGAGAAACAGAAGACGCGGGATGGAACACTCCGCACGGCTGGAAATTCTCTTCCCACCATACACGGATGCTGCGCTTCTCACCATGACTGACAACGGCATTATCCCCACCACGGTTCACGGCGGCGGTACCTCCACCAGTCTCGGCAGCGGCGGCATCCCGAGCCGTCTACCGCAGTTCAATAGAATATATAAGCCGTGCAGAATGGTTATTCTGTCTTTTACTTCTCGGAGGTTACCTTGTCGGTTACTTTGATATTTTGAGTATTATAAAGGGCAGCCAACTTTGTATATCCACTTGAATAATTCCAGTTACGCGTGTCGAAGTTCATTCAAGATCTTTCTTATTATCTTCATTAAAACCTGTAAGGTTATTCATCTCTAAGATTCAAAAATCAATTAATCAGGTGAACTTTTTACCTCGTATACAACAAATTCTCTCACGTGGTATCCTTCCACTCCTTACTATTTAGCCCTAAAACCTCAAAGTTATACTTTCGTTAGAGGTGCGTACGACTCGCACGAGCGGAAGATAACTTCCTACCAAACCTTCTTACTATTCAGCCTTAAAACCTCAAAGTTATACTTTCGTTAGCGGTGCGTACGACTCGCACAAGCGGAAGATAACTTCCTACCAAACCTTCTTACTATTCAGCCTTAAAACCTGAAAGTTATACTTTCGTTAGCGATGCGTACGACTCGCACGAGCGAAAATAGCTTCCTACCAAACCTTCTTACTATTCTGCCTTAAAACCTCAAAGTTATACTTTCCTTAGAGATGCGTACGACTCGCACGAGCGAAAATAGCTTCCTCGAATCCCACTAGAGGTGCGTACGGCTCGCACGAATGAATCTTTATCCTTTCTCCTGAAATCCTCACGTATGCCGAGAACGCGTCGTGTCGATAGGAAGTATCATTTGTGCCGGCTTCTCGTGACGTTACATGATATCCATATGTACTTCACCTCGGGATCTATGGCAACAAGAAAGCGAGCAAGGAAAACGAGGGACCTTACCGCCTCATTTCGATTACGTTCAACAGGAAGCCTGTATCAATAGTTCATTTACCACCCCATGACCCGCGAACACCCAGATATTTGAAAATCGAAGCCGAATTTATGGAGATCGCGAAACAAGGTAAATGCATCCTATAATTTTTGAAGTGCCGTGTCTCTAATCATTCTGTGTGCTTGTGTACCAATCCCGAACCAAGAACTGCACATAGCAGATAAAGTCCAAAAAGGTACTAATCTCACGACAGGTAGAAGCTTCTCGAAAAACTTCTTTGTAATATTTTTTTTTGAGGCCTGTACCGATCCTGTACCGAGCGGGACGTAACAAGAGGCTGTTGCCAACAATATACGGCACAGATTTTATTGTTGGATGGGTAAAAAGATGGTTTTTATATTATCCACCATGCATTCGGATGAGTTTGTAAGTGTACCGAAACGTTCTATAACAGAAGAAATAGTACGAAAACCAGCTTGTATACATGATTATAATAATTTCATGGCAGCAGTTGATAATATCGATATGGTACTAAGCACAATTACTTCAACACGTAAAAGTACAAAATGGTACAAAAAATATTTCATGCACATGATAGATATGTGTATATGGAACGTTTATTGCTTATACAAATTGAAGACCGGTGTTTGTTCCTGTTTTTAAATTTATCATACTATAAAAGATTATTAAAAAATAATATGGAATAAATACCATTAAAATCATAATTATATTACTATTTTATTTCAATAGCGAACTCAAAATAAAGCTAAAAATACATTGGTGGTGAAGTATGATTCCTTGCGCTTTCACGAAAGACAACAAAGTATGGTCAGGTGTGTTGTTACAAAAAGTGGCAAAATATGGTCAGTCACGCTGTTGCGAAAAGTGACGAACTATGGTACAGGTGCGCCGTCGCGAAAGGATTAATATTAATGTTTACATGAATACACTGTCCAATTTTTTACGAGCTGTAGCAAATCATGAGAGAGTAGAAAATATTTTGTAAATGAAATTAATAGAAAGAAACAATTAGAATTTGCGAAAGAATATCTCAATATTTCTGTAGAGTATTGGAATTGTGTTATATTTATTGATGAAAGTTTGGCTCGGTCTATGTACTGTTGTATTGTACGGAAAAAAAAGATACTAAATATGAGAAAAAAAATTTGCAGACGTACGTAAAGTATAGAGTAGACTCGGTCACGGTTTGGAGGTACATGAATGCAAATTGAGTTGTATCTTTCCATTTTATCGATGTTATCATGTACCATAAATTATATATGGACATTTCATATCAACATCTTCAAAGTAGTGTAAATAAAATTGGATTATAGGACAATTATGTGTTATATAATAATCCAAAGCATAATGCTTACAATACGTACGAATGGATCTTGAATATAATACCAAATTAATTAAACATTCCATCACGGTCTATAGACTTAAACATTATAGAACATTTATGGGATTATATTAAAGAAACAATTTCTAATCATCACATTTCTTCAAAGAAAGATATAAAAAATGATCTCTTAGAAGAGTGGAACAAAATTTCCAGTATTAAAACCAAAAATTTAGTAAAATCAATGCTACAAAGACTTAGAGTGATTATACAATCTAAAGGGAATCCTACGAATAGGATGCCTCATATGTGGACGCAAATGAGTCTTGCGACGATAAAACAGTTGATAAGATTCCTGAAAGTTTAAAATTCTTGAAAGGACGATTATGTCGAAGTCCTGATCAGATTGAAATTGAAAAAGAGAGCATTGGAGTCATTTCATTCGAGACCAGAATATTTGAGTATGCTGCTTGAGGAACTCATTGGTAAATTAAAAGCAATGTTTCAACATCGTGAAAGCAGACGGAAGAAATTGAGGGTCGCATATGAAGGAAGGATGAAAGTTTTCATGAAAACGTTCATGAGAAAATAATTATGTGTAACCGTTTTCATACAACAAGTGCACTATTATATACTATGTTAATTAAAAAGTAATACGTTTAAGTAGAGGATGCTGTACACCATCGTAGAACTAAGCACATAGATCTAAGATACCACCATGTGTTTTTCTCATTTGTACAAGAATATTTCTGAATTTTTCGTGTTTTCTTTTTGCTTGAATATGTGTACTCAACCGAAATAGAAAATGAAAGTAAAGAAACATACTTTATAAATTAATATATATTTCACATAATGAATGTAGCATATTTTTTGGATAAATGTAATAGTAATCAATTAAGCAGCTACAGTATCTCAGTTATGAAAACTATACAAAGGTTAAAAAAAGATAGCACTATTAACATTAAGCCAAAAATTATTATAAATTACAATTTAAATATAGAAGGTGTCGATAAGGCTGACCAATGCAAGTTCATATTGTTTTATGAGAAAATCATGTAAATGGTGGAGAAAACTTTTTTTCTAGAGATTAGAGATATGCGCGATCAATATTTTATATAAATCAGTTAGAAAACGCTTATGTCACATTTTATGTTTGTTCGGAGATTGGTGGAACAATTTGTAGGTGATTTTTGTGATGGAACATCTTCAAAAAAGGAAGACCATCGTCCTTAAATAAAGAGGAAAGGCTTAATAGCAAATTACGTATATTGTGGCACTGTGAAGAAGTAAAAAGTAAACATTTTTCTGTATGTTCAAACAGAAAAAATAAGGGCGGAAGACGCCAAACTTATTATTTCTGCGATACATGTTCTCAAAAATAAAAGCTTCATATTGGAGACTGCTTTGAAAGATATGACACAAAGAAAAATTACAAAATATCATTTTTATTTAACATTAAAACATTATTGTATTACATATATCTAAAATTTAAAAATAAAATTAATAAATTTTATTTTTCCTTTATAATCTTACACATTATGTATTACTGTTCGTTCAATGAAAATTAATTCCGTCCTGCATGACACCCATGTATAAACTTAATACGACCACAGAGGATTAAATCAATTCTTATCTTTCTTTCCAGAAACGAAAGAATTTAACAGGAATTAACAGAGGCTAACAGGAAATTTTTATGGCAATTTATTAATCAGAACTTTAAAACTGCAGTTGAAGAATTAATATTATATAACGATAGTTACAGGCAAACAGAATAACAAAATAGACTATTATGTTTATTAAAGCTACTTGTAGAGTTCAACATTATATAACTCATAGGGACATTTTAATCTTTTATGTTAAATAAATGATTTTAATTCTTGTTGGAATTGTTGCAATCAAAAACGCATTAAAAAAAAAAAGTATATTTTTAAATTATTTTAACAATATGTTTTTAGAGTATCAGAGATGAGCCATATACAGAATGATGATAATTCCATACATGCCCGTATTGAATATCATTGTAAAAACATCAGTATATACACAAAATGAAAAGTGCATACTCATGAGAAAAGTTCATAATTCATACACTGTTATAGAAAAGTTGTAGACAAACATATTTAATTTTAAAGATTTCTCGAAAACCTTTAACTGACCTTTTGTTAAAATCATTTCTTTCATTTAAATTATTTCAGAGAGATAAGTATGATCAAATAAGAATTCACTTAACGTCAAATATAATTTCAATGGAGACAGTATAAAAATGAAGTCTTGAAACTGTACATTTTAAAAGGAAAATATTATGAAATATAGATACTAAAAATCAACTATCATTAAAAACAAAAAATTTATCACTAATGGTGTTCAAAAATCTTATCCCGAGAAAATTTATTCAATTGTATAATTTAGTAATATTATTAACTAAATAAATTAATTTACGTTTATTTATATTTGTAATCTGCGATTGATAATAAACACCATCCTTTATTGTAATAATTATTTATTAAGAAAAATAATAATAAGAATAAAGGATATAATTCTAGTATGATAAATATTTAGAGATAAATGATTGCCATATGCTACTCTTAACGATGTATTGGCTTTTATTACTCGTAGCTTCATAGGTGAATATTCTACGTGCGCGACGACATTAATTGATTAAGTTGTACTTATTTCGTTAAAGAAGTTTATTTCAGTTAAAAAAGAAATGTAAACCATTTCGTTTTTGCAGTAGAATACTACCTGTTTAATGCGATAGTTTCTGGAGCTAAAAGGGAAACATATTATTTTTCGCGACTAAAAGCAAACCATACTTCTTTTTACGACGGACTACTAAAACATCCTTTTCGCTGCCAAAAGACACAACATACTTTTTTTTGTTTGAATAAGTGAAAATAACCGAAAACTGATGCATGGATAAAACTTACCAAAGATTTCGACACCATCTTTTTACAGTATTTACAGATCTTAAAATATTAAAAAATTAATACGAAAACATAAAGGAAAGAAAATAGCAGAAATGTCGGGAACATAAATTATATGTGAGGATACAGGAGTTGAATCAGCTAACTAAAGGTATTAATTTTACAACTATTTACAAAGATATTTTAGGTACACAACAGGATTAGAATAGGAATACGGTGATGATGCAGTTCAATATAAATATATAATTTTTTCCCCATGAATTCCCCATGAATGAGAGAAGTCCAAGAGTTTACGTAAAGGAGAAATGACTTTTTTACGGAAAGGATGTATTGTTCTCATTACATGGAAGGACAAAAGATTAGTGCTCATGATAACATCTGTTCATGATGCCTACCTAAAGTCAAGTGGTACGTGCTAAAGAAATTCTGGCAATGAAGATACAGTTAAACCTACCTGTATTTTACAATACAATATATATATGAAAGAAGTCGATCGTACGGATCAGTATTTAGTAAATAATAATATCCTGCGCAAAAGTATAAAGTGGTCAAAAAAATTAGCATTTTTTTTTTATAAACTGCGCATTATTTAATGCATTTACTGTAGCTACCAGGTCCAAAATAAATTAAGATATAAAAAATTTCTATTGGAAATAGCTAGGGACTGGATAACTACAAATTCCAATGAATTCAATACATTACATGACGTTTCTTCATACATTTCTACAACGGCTTTTCACATTGATCCACCCAACAGACTTTCCGGACACATAAGAGATCACGTTTTAGAAAAAATAGTGACTAGGAGAAAAAAAATCCTATTAGAAATCCTACTAGTGTAGAATATGCACCTCGAAAAGAAAACTTTATCATACGAAAAAGAAATATTGAAAATATTAAATACTAAATATAATTCATGTATACATCAGTATAATATATATAATATGTATAATAAATCATTACAAAAAAATTATTTACATTGTTTCACTTTCACATTCAATTCTGAAATAATAGCCGGTGACATGAGATAAA